CAGCATGAAAGGACAGTATAGGGAAAGACGGTACGAGTGAGATAAGACGTTTCGGTCCATTAAGTCATATACGTCTTAACTCAACACCGCGACCGGGCCTCGTGGCAGTATGATGGTCGCAGTGCTTAATGGAAAAGGAAAAAAAGAGGAAGGCGGCAAGAAGAAACAGAAGGGGAAACGATATGATTGTGGGATTAGAAGGAGTAAGAGTGAGGTGAAAAGGGAGGGGAAAAAGAAGATGGAAGGAAAAGATTTTAAAAGAGGAAGTTTTTTTAAAAAGTCTTTTTTAAGAAAAAGTCTTTTTCTGACTAAGTCATGCGTCATGCTCGTATGAATAAGTTTTTTTCTTAATACGGAAATCATGAGACACGCTGGACAATTTTCAGTATTGGACGGAAACGATATTCAAATGGTCGCCAAGTGGTACTTTTTTGGTAAGCATCCATCGTATGGGTGTTGCGCTCTGGGCAGGCGCCAAATTCGATCGATTCGCTCGCTTTGCACATGAAAATGTTGTAATGCTCGATTTCTCCCCATGTGAAAGGTTTCTTTTTTGAAACATTTTCAAATTTATTTCAAAGGGACTTTTTTTTGCCGCAGGCATCGGGCGAACTTCACACCTCCGGTCATTCGTGATGAGTTCCTTTTTCTGTATGATGAAGGCATGAAAATTAGGATTATCAAATGCTTTTTCGTAATCGACAGCAGAGCCGCAGAAAAGGGTCTTTTCTCTGGTAACGCAAACGAACTGATTTAGGTTATCCTGTGAATTTCAGCCCTGTTTCTTCAATAAAAAAAATTTTGCTCAGATTTCTTGTCACGTACGCGTTACCGGAGAACCGCTGGTCCGAGGATCCAAACGCATTACGCATATTTGATACAATGACTGGAGAAATGCGACGTGGCTTTTCCCTGCTTTCGCATCAAGTGTCTACCAATGCATTGCCTTGCTGGCCATATTTCCAGTAAGTTTTACATCTTTGTTTTATTGAAATGTCTCTTTTTCAATTTTATAATTGTTTATACTTTCAATTTGCCAGCGAATGTGGTGCAGACTGATGAGCGCTGCTGCGGCACCGAAGATCGAGGGATAATTCATACTTCTAACTACACCTTGTATTCTCTGTGTTTACAGCTAAGGGACGAAACACGGACAAAACAACATCTACAAATTTCCTTTTACTTCACTCTTCAACATGACATGCAGTTTGTACCATATTAACAACCCCACTGTCTTTCCCATCATAATCTGTTAACTGATCCCCCCACATTTAAATTTAAGGATTTCGGCCGTTTCGTACTTCCCACGGTTCGTACTGGCAGTTACTTCAGAAATTACGGTTCGGCCTATCCATGGCCAAAAAAATCATTTATTTATTATTGATTTGTTACAGATGGTCTGCAGACACGCGGACCCTAGG